TTTTTTTTTTTTTTTTTTTTTTCTTTCGGACGGCTAACACAAGTCCGCCCGAACCGTATACCAAGCCCGTTAATGTCGCACAGGAGCCGCGTGCCCCCGCGGAGGAGCGCGAACCCCGCAGCCGCGTCCGCCCGTAAATACCCCAGTGAATTTGATTTGACGCGAAGTGTACTTATACTCTGTTGTAATGTAATAATGGCCCGCACGCAGAGCCCGTTAGTTAGCAGGCATCCGTGCCCAGATGCTTATAATGCAATACCTGTAGGCATATTACATTATAAAACGTACAGTGCATACACACGTTCGCGTACAGGGTGATCAGCACAACGTGACACGCGTTGTTATTCCGCACGGTACGTGTTCATTTTTTTCGTAATATGTTTTTCCGATCATTTAAAAACCAACGAGTGTAACTCTGGAACGTTAAATTAATTAACATTATCCGGTTGTTTTTATTTTTTAATCAACATAATCTTTTTTTTTTTTTTTTGTCACCCTTATTTTAGAGGGTAAAAACATTGTCCACTTTTGATTTTCGCAATCTTTCAATACAAATTCCGTAAATATATAAAGTGTTAGTTTTGGTGAAGGTCCGGATTAAGAAGAGGGGGGGGAGGAGGGCACGTCCCCGAGGCTCACAAAGACCATAGTATTATGCTATTTATTTTACACTGTATTGTTGATTTTATCGGCTCATATTACGAGTTGAAAATCAAATATTTGATAGCCTTTATTTTATTATTATTATTATTTTTTTTTTGTTATGATTATTTGTTCTATTTTAACTGCAGAATAGGGCCCAATATTAATCATCAACCCACAATCTATTAACCATTAATCCGGGTTTGTTTTGATGCTAACGTTTATAACATCCGAGTAATGACGTACCGTTTGTGCGGCGGCTCGGCGCGCGGCCGAAAATAAATATTCTATTGAAACAATGTGTGTGGACCAGTAACTAGATTTGTTCCACATAATTTTTTACGAAAACAATTATCGTCAAAATTCGATAATCAAATTTTTATAAAAAAAAATATAACACACACTAAATTATTATTTTTTTTTTGTTTTGACCGCAAAGTACGACTTATAATTAACCTCCTGTTCAGTTTTCAAGCATTGCTGTTGTGTCTAACAATTTTATCCACAGAATACTTACCAAATAAAGATTAGTCACAAAATTAAAATCTCCATAAATAGCTCAAATGTTTTTACAGTTTAGAAAAGGTAAATTTTCCGTCCAAATTACAAGTCTTCACGAATATTTTTAACTGAAATACAACAAACAACACAAATTAATGATATAATAAAAATCATTATTTTCATAAATTTCCATTTTCCTTACGTTTTCTCCGGGGTTTGCCCACATATTATGAAAACCGCTTGAAAAATCAAAAAATGACTTGAAAAAATCTTAGATAAAATATAACAATACATTCTTCGCTGTACAATCAGAATCTAAAAAATTATGTCAAATAATATATTGATTATAGCTATTATATCTACTTCCGGACCAATGACTATGTCAAATGTCAATTTAAGTACATTTCTCTCGGGGGGGAGGGGTTGATCACCCTCTTTACCCCCCCCCAATCATGGACGTGCCTGGATATATACAATACACAATATTATATTTAATTATAATTTTTTGCTGTATAATTATTGTTATTTTATTATTACATCATAGGTACGCGGAGAGGCGGAAATAAGGGATGTCGCGGCGAGTCGGTGGTGTGAAACGTCTGTTGCGCGGTGACGGTACATATACAGAGTGATTCTGATTGTTTTTTTTTTCGCGAATCGCGATCCAGCGATTTTCTCGGGAGATATTTGAAACGAATTTGATAGCCGTACATAGATATTTTACGCAATTATTAGTGTTTAAAAACCAATTTACATTCTCTAACTCCTATATCCCTTAAACTATATAAATGTTACGGTTAATGTCGTTATAATTACACTTTAACCAATTGTGTGCTGTTCGTTTTAATATTGGAGTGTGTTGACCTACAAACTAACCTAAGGGTAAGCGTGTTGTTTGTGTTTGCACGTAGGTGTTTTTCTCGATGTTTAAATTTTTAATCCAGATCCGACGATTTTTTTAATTGTAATATTTCACACGTTTGTAACTCACTTGAAAGTTAAAACACCGAGAAAAAACCCGGCGTACAACAACAGACAATGTTCTTAACTTTATGTTTGATAATAGGCTCATACATTATTCTAGAATTAAAACTAACAGCACGTACTCGGTTTTTATATCCGAAAAGTAAAAATATAACGACGCTGGCCGATTTTACAACGTTAACCGCAATATACGTATATACTTGTACAATACGCTCTTCCCGATGGACGTCACCGTCTGTACAGCTAGTCGTTTAATCTGTTTAAACTCATAAAAAAGATAAATGCGATATTCACAACGCGTTATCAACGCGTATCGAGATTGAATGGGTCCGCGGTGTGCTAGAACCCGCGGGTATCTTAACATTTTGAAGGTGTTCGGGAGACACGAAATACCCGGTAATTATCATAGTTACATTATACATCATATTACCTATAACGGATACTACGCGGTTACACTGCATCGCCGAACTGGTATGCGAAATCTGAAAATTTATCAGAAAATGTATAAAAACACGGGGGGTGGGGCGGTCGTTGTCCGGAATTTAAAAGTCCATGTTTGTTTATCGTGTAAGTGTATCTATACGCATTATACGTTATATATTAGAGGACCGCGGAACGAGGGGATAGCAACGTAAATGTTTCTAATAATTTCTAATAATAATAATAATAACAACGTAGTTACGATGACTGCAGATGTATCGAAACACTGTTCTCGTGTATAATATTATAATATGTCCGGCTATTATGCTCGGCGGATCGCGACGACGGGTGGCGAGGGGCGGGGCGGGCGGGAAGGGGAGGGGAAAGGGAATCACCCTGTATACAGCGGCGCGCACGCGGGTACGAGTAATGTAACGCAATCCGAGGTACGTACAAATATAATAATAACCGAAACCAGTTTTACATATTACGCTCGCAGTGCGAGTGCGCGCGTGTGTGTATGTACAGTTAACACCTTAAATACACATGTTTGTTATGGCGTTAACGACAACGGTCCGCAAAAGTAAACACGGCGCGCGCCGCCGGCGGGACGCGCGACCGCACCGGCCAATGGGCCGTCGAGTTTCCCGCGACCCGGCGGCCGCCCAACCGCGGCGTCCGCGGTTCACGCCCATCCCCGCGCGTCCCCGCCGCCCGCCCGGCCCCGCGACCCGCGGCCGACGGGCCGAACGCTAGCGCTCGCTCCCGCCCGTCGGCACTGCTCCCCCACCCGGCCGTTATCCCCACCGGCCGCACGTACCGCCGCCCCGCCGAAAGCCGGTGCCGCTGCCGTTGCCGCTGCCGCTGCTGCCGCCGCCGCCGCCGCTGCCGCTGCTGTTACCGCAATCGCAATCGCCGGGCACCAGTCTACCGTCGTTGGCCGTACGTCGCACGCGCTCCGTCTGCCGCCGACACTCGACGTTTTCTAAACATTTATTTTTATTTTTTTCTCTCACTAGTACCTATACTATACAACAATATATTATCATCGCAGCGATAATATTTTTTTTTCGCGTACGAGATATTCTACATTATTATTTTTTTTTTTCAAATAATACTTACATAAAATTTATCGCGCGCGTACCGTGCGTGTCCGCGTCCGTAAACCGTGCGCGTATACCGGATCGCGGCCGAAGCTCAAACGGGATCCGTGCGAATGTCGCAGCGTACCGCCGTCGTCGTGGTCATCGGTACTTTCGCGGTGCCCGAGTGATAAACGTAATATCGCGATATTAAAATATATTATCGTTTTTTTTTTTTGTTGTTTCGCGTTCGCTCTGCGGTCTTTTTCGTTTTTTTTTCCCCCTCCGTTTCCCCGTTAAAATGATACAAGTGGCCGCAACGCCGATGATCGTCAAACCGAAAATCGGTTTTTCCATCGAGTCCATCGTGGGCGCGGGTTCTCGGTCGCCGGCCAGGAGCGAAGGTTCGTCGGCGGCGCATGACGAGAGCGAGGCGTGCAGTTCGGCCGCCGGTTCGCCGCTGAACCCCGGCAGCGTGTCGCCGCCTCTGCCGCCGTCGCACCATCACCATCACCAGCAGCACCAGCACCAGCAACAGCAGCAGCAATCCCACCATTTGCACCACCAACACCGGCAGCAGCAACAGCAGCAGCAACACGAACAGGGCACCACCACCGTCTTCAAGCCGTCCGCGATACCCGCGGCCGCCGCGGCCGGTTACGGGTCGTCGCCGTCTTCGTCGTCCGTGGCCGCGGCCGCCGCGCAGCTGGCCAAGGGGTTGCAGTACGTGCACGAGCCTCTGACGCCGCCGCCGCCGCCCGCTCACCCGCATCCGCACAACCCGTTCGCGTTCGCCGCGGCCGCCGCGGCCGCCGCCGCCGCGCACCACTTCCAACCGAACCCGCATCACCCGCAACACCAGCCCACCCGGGACACGTACCCCCTGTACCCGTGGCTGCTGTCCCGACACGGACGGATATTCCCGCACAGGTTTCCCGGAGGTGAGTGACGCATAAACAGTTTTTTCTTTTCTCCCGTCGTAACTCCCGCGCAATCGCAATTGAAAATCGCGCGGGTCTCCGGCACGCGTTGCGTCCCCGCGAGTGCATAAACGTCGTTTGAAATTTCCTCCCCCGGCCGCGAGTTTTCGCGTTTCCGCCGCATCGCATCGTGCGCCCGTCGGAAACTTACGCGCAAATAACATTCGCGGTCTGCAGTCCCGAACGCGTCACGCGGAGAATAATACCGTTACAGGTTTTCGCAGCGCGCACGTAGTCAGGTACGCGACTCCTCGGCGACACCCGTAAAGAATCTATACGCGCGTTTTTATTATTATTGTTATTTTTTTTTTTCCCCGTCGAATTTCTCGTGTAACAACATAATAGGACCGTAATCCCGGAGTTATGCAAGGCCATCGCAATATTATTGTTATTTGCATTGTAACAGACGTTACAATTATTGTGTAATCCGCGTACCCGCGGCGGGTCATCCGAACGGCAAGGGTCGCCTATACACACACACACACACACGTAGGTAATATATTGTCCCGGGCGTCCGTCCGTTTCGCTCTGCGGACGACACTGCGGAGTCCGGCATTTTCGGCGTGTAAATTTCACTCTGACGCGATATAATAGACGAAAAGCGGTGCCCCGCGCGCGCGCGCGCAATAACACCCCGCCGCACGCGATAATAATTTGTAAGAAAACCGCCCCCGCGGCGCGTCGGGTATATTATTATTGCTGTTATTGCTGTTATTGCTATTATTGCTGTTATTATCGTCGTCGTCGTCGTCTCCGTGTTGCGTGTATCACGCCGCGACGCCCTGTACACTGCGTGTCCGTGTGCCGTGAACGGGATTGCGCGTATACACACACACACACCAGTGTTTTCGGCCGCATTATATCGGCTCCCGAAAGGCCCCGTATACGCCTACCTGCCCGTGATATTGTTGCACGCGGACCGTGTGCGCACAACATTATTTGTCGCATTGTGTTGCTAATGTACCGGGCGAGAAAAAAAAAGAAAGAAAACAAGAGTGGACCCAATAAAAATTTGTCCCGCGTGCGCGCGACAACAGCTATTTACGCGTGTGTTTAACCGTGTGTGAAAACAACGCGCAAACGATTCGCGGCGTGCGGTATGTTGTCGACGGGGGGGGGGGGGGGGGGGGGNAAAAAAAAGGGAAAAAAAAAAAAAAAAAAAAAAAAAAAAAAAGGTGTTCCGGGTACGAATCGCCTAGGACGCCTCTATATCAACAATATACGTATGTATAGACGCGCGCGCACTACCGTCTCCGGTACGCCAATGCGCGGAATCGTTGCGGCGCGCGTATCCCAACGTCTCTCCGGGTACGGACAACGATCGCAGTATAGCCGGTGCCCGCGATAACGCAACACAATATGTACCGTTTTTCAATAGGAATTGCGTAAAAAAGAAAGAAAAAAAAAAAATCTCGGCCCTCCGGGCACCGTCATAATTCATATGACTGCCGTCCCCGAAACCGTGCCGCGATAATATGTTTTACGGTACGCGTTCTCGGGGTCCTCTATCGAAACGCTGCACACAATCGTCCTCTCCTACGCGAGTTGATATTTTTCGTACCGTATCGACACGCCGATAATATATTACATAGGTAAGATTCTATTATTGTTGTTATTATTATTATTATTTTTTTTTTTTTTTTTACGAAACCGTATCATGTGACGTACAGTATGATACCGTTAGGTATTTCCGCGCGACGGCGATATTCGGTAGGTACCTCTACGGCTATTATAGAACGTTACACGCGGGTAGGCATATAACGAGTAGAGTATTGTCGTTGTCGTCGTTACTATTAGGCAATGACGACCGGCCGTTGTACACGCGGGGAAAAACGAAAATTGTCGATTCGAATGTTAAAATATAACGCAAAAAAAAAAAAAAAAAAAAAAAATCGCTACACCCGAGCGAGTTCCGTCCGAACAACGTTACTTTTACGCCGATTCCGTCCGGATCGAAAATGTTCTTATCAACGTTAAAACGCGCAAACGTTAGATACGAACGATTCAAACGTAGCACACACATTGATAAACGCGAATATTTTTTCATCGGATTTAATTCGCGCACGACGCAAAAAACTAATGGTTTACGTGGACACATCAATTCCTTTCAATGTTAAAATGCGGGGAAAAAAACTCGCACAATATCAATGCGTTAATAATGCACGCAAATTCGATCGTTCGGTGCGATAACTGCGGGTTCGACTGGGATCGTGTTTATTTCGGAATAATATAAAATTGTTACCGCGGTCGAACATTTTACACCGCTACACTATTGGCGCACGGTGTGGAGAAAACGCAAAACGGCGCGGAACTCGTGCGACTAAACGAATCGCCCGGGGACGGAACTGCGGCGCGTCCTCGGATTCAAAATTTTACACCTGGGACGGAACCGAAAAAAATATAAAAAATTACGCGCGAATGACGATGGCGGTCCGCGGTGTACGCCGCGTGCGCGTATGGGACACACGCTTCCGTTTCGCGGGCCGTTTGTTTTCGCGCAGTACGCGCGCGTTGAAATCTCGAGCGATTCGACGAGCGGTACGTGTACGCGTAACGTCACACTCGCGCGAACGTTTACGCGCGTACAGGGATTGTTGGGGGGTGGGGGGCGGGTAAGAGGCGTCCGCGGGATCCGACGACTTTCTGTCGGTAATCGCGCGCGTCGGTCGTGCGACGGGAAACCGCGAAATCCCGACGGCGCGCCTTGTTATAATACGCGTGACCGCGGCGAGACGAATGAAAAATAATGACGGCGTTCCGGGGTGTCGTGGGGGGAGGGGGNGGAGGGGGGGGGGGCGTAACCGTACGGTCCCCGCGACCCGGCGCGTTCGAGAAATATCTACGCTATGGATTCGGTTCGAGAAATCGCCGCGGGTTTCAGCAGCGTACACGCGCACACGGCAGACCGAGGACTTTTCGGTTGGCCTGTTACGTATATTACGTTGTAGTTTTATCGCTTGTTCGTCGGAAGCGTTGTTTGTTTGTTTACACCTGTATGACTGCGGGGGAACGGATTTATACGTTGTCGTGCACTCGAAATTCGAGAGAGAGAAAAAAAAAAAACCGCTCGAAACCGCCGTAAAAGCACGACGTCCGTATCCGACATTGCGGTTTGTCCCGAAGAGCCTTTTTTTTTTTTTTTTTTACTTCTTTTTTTTTCCCCCCCGTTTCGCAGACAGTTACCGTTTTCGATTTGAAAGATTGTTGGGGGGTTTTTTTTTTTTTAACGCCGCACGAATTCCCCTTTTCGCATAACACACGGTTTTCGGTCGTCGACTCGAAACATTACGAGTACCGCGAACGTACACGAGCTGCGACCCCGTAGGACGCCACTGAATTCAACTGTATAGTGTACAACATATAGTCGAAACGGTGGTATAAAAATAAGTCGCGCGGTTATCTTTAATTACGTGAAATACAATTGGCATTATGTATCTTATAGAATACTTGTAGTTTTCCCGTCCGGCGTTGCCCGGGCCAATTTTTTTTTGTTTATTTTTTATTTCGTCCGTGTCGCCAAGATTACCCGTCGCGGACAAACAAAAATAAATGAACACGCGATTAGAATGAATTCGCGCTAATTCTACCCCTTAGTGGTTTAATGTTCAAACATTCTTTCTTTGCGAATGTAAAAGTAAAAGTTTGTTACGTTGAACCGATTTCGATGAACTTTGGTATAGAGCTTGGTATATGAGATTTTGGCGAAAAATGCTTTTTGTCGCGAAAATAAAATTCGAAGGTGAACAAATATAGGGCTGCGGAAATACAATTATTTTCGTTGAATTACGGATCATCTATAAGTAACACGGATGAAATGAAAAAAAAAAAAAAAAAGTGTACAAAATAAATAATTAACGGACCGTAACAACTCAGGATGACGAGTCTGTGTTATAACCGACTGTCTGCCGGTCAGAATATATTGGCTTGAAATAGGACGGGCGCGTAATCGAAACGCGAAAACGCGTGAAATCCGTCGTCCTTCGAACCTTCGTCGTTTTCGGCGCCTACAGTAACAACACCGCGCAGTGCGGACACTTTTTGGTCCGACCGAAATTTAGGCGGACTACCCGCCGTCCGTCACCTATTCATTATCTTTTTCCCCGTTGTCGACGTGCCGGATGTTTCCCGTCCGCTTCGCCCGTTTTTATCCGGTGTCCCGCTTTACATTTCATAAACGCCGAAACACTACAAGGCCTGCCACAACGTTTACACCGTAACAGTACTAAAACCGTGTGTACATATATACGGCCATAAAGTCTATTTACTCGTGTTTCGCGTTCATTTCGTATGCGCCCGACTCGCCGTACCGCGAGTGTATTTACACTGCGCGACGTCGGTTTCGGCGCGCGCTGTCGTATCCATTGCCGGCACGCCCGGCCGCGACAACGGCGACTGACGGTTGACGATGCCGGGGGTAAACGAATATCGTTAAAATACCCCCCCCCCCGTATCGTTATGCCGTCGCTCGCGTCTCGGACGGCCGGACCCCGGTGCACACTGAAAACGCCTCGAACGACGCCCCCCGTACCCCGTAGCGGGCGTGTGAAAACAACGGACGCCGCGGCGTTTCCCGCGCGTCTGTATCAGCGCGGTGATTTTACGGGATCCGTTTTCGCGCCTTTGCAAAATGATTAACGCGCCGGTTTTATGTCGCCGTCGTCTTATTCGGCGGTGTGCGGTGTCTGTGCGCGTACACGCACACACACTCGCGCGTACAGATTACGAGAAGAGAGGGGGAGAGGGACAATGTTGTGCGCAAACAATCGCGCACCCGCACTCGTGCGCGCCGTCGAGTGATTGAGTGAGTACACAAATCGTGTTTGCCGCCGAGTTTTTACGCGGCCCGTTTTCAATCGCCGGACGCGCAAGTACGGACTTGCCGACTCGCCACGTACTTGCGACGCGACGGCGCGCACGCGGCACCCGGATCTCCGTCGACGGTACGCGTCAGCGTACACCGTCCCGCACCGGGCCGCGCCGCGTCGGACTTAACGGTTTTTTACGCAGTTTCAACGCGGTTTCCTTACCGGCTAATTGTGCGCGCGCCGAAATGCGTCGCCCGGAACAATAACGCGTGCGTACTCGACTCGCGCGGCCCACGGGTTCGGGTTCGGCCGGGCCCGACGCCGTTTCGTGCGGCGGTATAATCGGGAAATAGTAAACGCGTGTGCGGTGTTTTTTTTTTTTTTTCTCTCGCGAATCTACCGCGTTGTTCGACACGTCGTTATTGCGCTACGATTGCGCGTCGCCACCGCGCTCGGTCTACACGCGTGATACGCGTCGCGGTTCTCCGTCGTGCTGTCGGCAGTTCCAACGTCGGCCAATTAGAAGCGGAGTACAACCCGCGATAACAGGCGAAGTGAACAAACACGCGAGCGTATCGAAAACACTGTACCCGTGTGTCTTTTGGATTCTGAGCGAAGCGAGGAACGTATCGGTCTCGTACTACACGGTCCGCGCGTGTCTACGCAGACAACTTTTCTATGCGCGCCCGCGGAAATCTCGTTCCAATCGGAGAAACCCCGTCGGTAATGTCTCGTAGCGTTTTCGTTCCGGCCGGCGTGCCGGGCGGACAGTCGTTTCTTTTCGATTTCACTTGTAGTTGCCTTGATAAACGGTAAAATAAAACCGGCGATTTTTGGCGATTTCCGGGCAACAATAATTCCTGCCAAACGATTCGAACAATCAACACTCGTTGTTCGAAATGACGGCTTATGGCCGTCGCCGATACAAATCGTTTCCTACGGCCAGCACCTATCGGCGTGCACATGCATACGGGTTATATGGGTATAAGCATTTTTTCGTCGTGCCCAACGACGTAATGCGTGTAACAACGTTACGATAATAGGTAAACGCGTTGTAAAATTATCGTAAATAAAAAAAAAAAAAAAAACTACCTTAACAAGGTACCAGGTATAATAATAATAATAATACGACGATGGCTATTAATCCGTGCTCGTAACTGCAGTGGGTATCTCGTCGTTCTTTCCGTTCAACGCGATAATAATATACAATATACCGCGTAACATTGTTATAATGTCATTTTCTCCCTCGCACTCCTCCCCCCCCCCATCCACACCACCGGTTCTCCTCCTTCACGCCCGGCAATCGGCTCCGGGCACACACACACACACCTATAATACCCTATACACATGTTATTTGAACGAAATAGCCGGCCATCACACCACGCCGCGATGCTGTTGCCGGCGCACGACCACCGTATAATAATATAATTGTCGGGTACGCGACCGCGTTCGTCCGTACGGTCAATTGCTCGTAACGAAAAAAAAAAAAAAAAAATATCACGGACGCTCCATACTAGCGCGGGTCCGGATTTCGGATATTTTTCGTCGGTTTTTTTTTTTTTTTTCATACGACATTTTTCCGCGCCGAATTTTCCCACGCCGGACGTTCTTTCTCACTGTGTACGTGCGCCTGACGACGGTCCATTTGCGCCGCCGTTCACTTGTACAATGGCGTTACGTATATTATAATCGATGCGTATCGGCAGCTCCGGTGTCCGCCGTTTACCGCGGTTTCCGGAGGGCCGCGACCGACGACCGGACGACTCGTCGATTTCAGAGGAAAAAAGAAAAATTTTAAAAAAAATTTATAATTACGCGGGGGCCGAGGGGGTGGTGGCGGGCTATTGGCTACTGTGTAAAACGACCGGTAAACGAGCCGCCGTGCGCGAACGATACGGTACGCAAGAGGCGGTTGAACACACGCGGCGCGCCTACTCCGCGGACCACCGATTGCCGAGCCGAACACCGGTGTCGCGATTATCGCGCTTCGCACGCGGATCGGTAAGGGGTGGGGGGAGTGGAGAAAAAAAACAAATTTATTAAAATCGAAAACCGTCGTTCGGTTTTTTTTATTTCCCGCGTTTCGGGCGCACGTCTACGGGTGTCGTCGTGTTGGGCAACGTCCGTTTCAGCGTGCAGCGGAACGTTTCGGAACGTTGTCGCGTTCTTTTCGCCCGGGTTTAGGGCGCCGGGGGCCCGGCGGGGCCGCGAGACCACGGGGATCTCGGTTCTCGCCACCGCGGTGCGCATTGATTTTTATTTTTTTATCTATACGCGGTTCGACTCGCGTAAAAAACGCCAAACTGCATTTATCGATGTCCCGTGTGCGCGGCTTTCGACGTCATGCACCCGCTTTTCGCCGATGACCCTTACGGCGGAATCCGTATCATGACATTCACTGATGTATATGTATACTATATTGTCGTTTATGATATTATGTATCGGTTTTTTTTTTATTGTTTTTTGTCAAAATACATTACCGACTCGACGATAATCTTCAACAGTTAATTTGTTTCTATCGCGATGTTTTTCGCGCGCCCCCTTTGAAAATGCTGAGCGGATCTCGCTCGAAAATCCGGCCGACATCGAGTTACAACGACCGTACGGGTCGGGGTTTTAACACCCGGTTCGCGGACAGTAAGAAACACGTACGAAATCCTTAGTTTTATATTACGTTTCATACAGTGCATACGTACTGTAACTGCAGGGACGGGGGCGGTTCATCGGTTCCGCCGGTTCTTAACAAGGAACCGATTATTATTATTTTCGGTGTCGGCATTATTTATTTATCGCGGTGACGATTTATCGGGCGTTTTTTTACCTTTTTTACTGTCACGCCATACGGTACAGCGACAGCGTTGCCGAACAGCGTGTATGAATTAGCATACCGATTGTGTGTGCCGCGGCGAAACCCGGAGGTTCACACGCATATTTCGAACATTTCGAAAATAACGAACACCGGACTTTGGTATTCGCGTTATGCGCCTGTACGTCTTCGACCCGCTCGCCAAACGCGCCCTGACCGAATGCGATTTGCGAAACGGCGCAACCGTGCCGACGCGTTCGTACACCCACAACGGAAACGATACCTATGACATTGTACCTGTGTATCAGGCTGGTTATGGATTTGGGGCCGACGAATACATTTGTCGGGTTTGAAAGAGTCCGAACGGAAGTAACATTTTTAACCACGCATGCGGTATATGATTACGCGCTCGGCGATCTGTTTGTATTTTCCGGAACAGTGTCGTATTTTGTTCGTTCAAACTTTCCGCCTCGAAATATTGCAACGCACTGTCGTAGTTTCACGGCCGTCTATAGTAGTAGACGCAGTCGGTTCGGTAATGAAATGTAACGTTTACGTTATTGTAATGATAAATACGTATAATCCGGCGTTTTTCATTCGGTTTCGGTGGGCAAACACGGGGTCGAGGGTATTCGAACCCTGTAGTGTTCGACATAACAATGACACACGGGGACGTACAGCACCGTCGGAGTAGTAGTATACGTGATTGGACACGTGATTGTCGGTTTGCGGCAAAGAAACTCGATAAAAAAAAAAAAATAATAATAAAAAAACCTCAGTTTATAACGTACATACCCGTACGTGTTACAGACGTTCGTTTTGTATTACAATACGTTTTCGGGCATCTATTACGGTGTACACCTAACCGCGATGTCGAAATCAATTTGCAGATTTCCGCAGGTGCGCGCATTTAGAACACCTTCGACAATTTTTTTTTTTTTTTTATTTCTTTAAACGGACTCGTTTGTTAATCGCTAATAATTTTCGCGGCGGCCCCGGCCATTATTAGCGCCGTTCATCGTAATAACAAATTATATTATTATTATGCACATCGTACGTGAGATTATAATATTTATACGGCACGCCGCAGGCGATAATGAGCACGGCGCGCGTTTAAAACCGCGTTAACGAATATTGTCCGCGAGCCGGCAGCCGAGATCGTTGTTTGCTTGCGTACGATCGTTGGCGTTATTATTATTACGGGCCTATAATGTTATAATCTGTGTGTTTATACGTAAATATGTGTGAAAGAAAAAAAAAAAACTTACCTTAAACGCGTATAAATTTGTGCCTCGCGCGCGGGTACCTACGGTCGTATCAAAATAATAATCGACGCGTAGAATTTTTCCCGTCTCCGAATTTGACACGTTTTTTTTTTTTTGTTTTTTTTTTCGACCGGTCGAGCTACCGAATTATATATAATATTATTATTATTATTATTATTATAATTATTATCTCCTATGTGTGTGTATACATATATGGGTACATCGCACTGTACCATCGTCGTATACCGCGGTAAATATACGTGTACGCGCGCCTCGAGGGTGAGAGGGGCGGGCCGTATAGGGGAGCGGGCAGGCGTTTAACACGGTTTTGATTTTACAACGTGTGTCGTGTGGCTGCTGCTGCTGACGGCCGGCTTTCGGCAATTCTCGTTCGGTCCGGTAAGAATATTGAATACAATCTCACGACGCGGAACGCACATTATAATACACTGCTGATACAGGCAATATCTGATATTGTTACGCCGCGCGTGGAGTAGTATTAATAATAACGATACGTCGAGCCCGGGGGGACGGGACGACGTCGTGGAGGGACGAGGCCGGAGAGAGGAGAAGTTGATAAAAAAAAAAAAAAAAAAAAAAAAGGTAACGTCGCGGCGCTGGCCCGCGGTTATTAATTGCCGCTTTTCGTATACCGGCGCGGCGCGCGCTGGTCGGGTTGGTTTTTTTTTTAGGAAAATTTTTTTATATTTTTTTCGGGTCGCGGTTCTCCGGCGGGCGTGACTGTTAATTAACAGCGATAAATTAGTCCGAGACGCCGCGATAATACGGTATAATAGGTACCTAGGTACATAGCTGGTATATAATAGTATGCACCGTACGATAATACGGCGACGGACGGGCGAAACAAAAGTGAAAATGAAAAAAAAACAAATAAATAAATGTAAATTGCCATTGTCGAAACAATCGGGTACGGGGGAGGGATGTGGAATAATAATAATAATACGTACGAGTGCGTGTGTAAATAAAACTTATTACACACACACACACACACACACACACACCCGAGGCCCTTGAGTATGTAACGCGCGTTCCGCAGTTACGGGTACGGGTATGCGCCGCCGACAGATGGCGTTTGTCTCTCTCTCTCTCTCTCTCTGTCTCTATCTTTTTCTCCGGAGGTTTCATTTTTTTTTTTTTAATAATACAATACATGATTTAGGCTTATTCGAAAATATAATTATCGTGATGTTATCACGGGGGGGGGGGCGTTATCGTATACACGCGCGACGACACGTCCAGCTGTCTTATCAACGATAATAATTATTATACTCGTGCGTATTGTAATTAGACGCGGCCCGTCTAACTCAACCGACGAAACGTTATTATCGTCGGGTATCATTCGCGGACGCCTTTGTATAATTATGAATTTGTTACCGGCCGTCGTCTTGTAGTAGTGACACGGCGCGGATACCTTACAATACCTTATTATTATTATCGCATTGCCTGTATTATAATTTTTTACTCGTTTTTTTTAATTATTGTATAGTCGATACGTGCTTATATCATTTACATTAGGTATAGTAGTTTTGTGCGGCGCGTAGGTATACCGTAACACAATACGAGTACGTACGTATTATATTAGGTATACGTGTATAGGGTGGTCCCCGGAGAGGCGGTGCCAATTAATTTCGACAAAACAATAGAGGCGGATAAAAAACAAAAAAAAAAAAAAAAAACACAAACGGAATAAATAATATAATAACGATTAACTTCCCGAAAGAGTGTTTTTTTTTTTTTTTTGTTTTAATATACGTGGACAGCTTCTTATTATGCCCGAGCCAGATTAAATTACGAGAATAATAATATAATTTATACGCGTACTTACATAATATATTATAAGTACATATCTATATATAGTTATACAATATGACTGCGGCAGTACGATACACACATAATGCCGCGTCGAGTCGGTAGAAAAAAAAAAAAAAAAACCCGGCAATTAACCCGTTTAAATTATACCGGACGCCGTTTGTCTAAAATGATAATAACAATAATAATCATACGTACGTAATATAAACGAAACAGAAAAAAAAAAAAATAAAAACCGATAATAATCGTCGTGCGAACGCGCGCGGTGGTGGTGGTGGTGCAGCGTGTTTCGTCCGTATAATTTTCCGAGGCGGAGTTCGGTTTTTTAACAATTTTTTTTTTTTTATATATACATATATACGTATTTATATATACCCGTATATTTCATGTGGGTATTATATATATACGCACGTCATAATAAAATACCGCGAAGTTTTCGGACCGGGGGGGGGGAGGGAGCCGGGGAAGGCGTACGACGCGCGTCATGTAAATATTGTATATAATGCGTTTTTCATTATTTTTTTTTTTTCGGATTCAAAAACAAATCGTTTCCGGTAATTACGCGATAATATTATTATTTTATTGCGTGCGGTGTGCACCCTGCAGTCATAAACGTACAACCATACTCGTTATAGGCGCGTCGTTGACGATAAAAAATGATTACGTTGTCCATACGTGTGAAAATCGTTGTACACAATCGAAATCGACACGCCAAAATATCCATATAGGGGTACCCTTTAATACACCCTGTATAGAGTTTGTTACAGAGTGAGTGTTTGTACCACAGCACGTTACCACACTATGCGTATTCTGCAGTATTCATTCCGTTTAATGTTCCCCGTAATGTTTAACCGTGGATTTTTTTTTCTTACAAATTTGTATAACCATTTACAAGACTAGTACAAACCGTTTTAAAATTCTCGAGTGAACTGCAGATTTCGATTTTTTTTTTTTCCGTTAGGAGGCGACGTTCTACTATAGGCGCGTTGGACTTGGATTTTTGATTTTGTGGTAAAAACAAAAAACAACTCAATACTGACAAATTAAATAACCTCGGATATAGGACCCGAGCGAATTAAATTTATTTTCGTTTCGACGTAATCACGACAGAAACCAGAATTCAACAAAAAATAAAATCAATCGTTCAAAGTTAAAAAATTCAAGCGCGAGCACTTATAATATGTTTAGGACCGAACCACGCGGGATAAAAAGTAACCTTATAGTTATGTACTGTTTCCGGGATATATGTTCTGCTATTATATTATGTTACATATTCTTAGCTGTTCATGTTCTGAGCACGGGACAATATGCAATTGAGTACCGTGAACAGTGTAGTTTTAAAAAAAAAAAAATGCTCTTTACTAGTTTTTTAAAAAAAATTTCGAGCCGCTTATTTCAGAGTTATAACGAAGTTTTTTTGAACGCGTTTTTGCGAGTTTTGAAGTGCTCAAAGTCCAGCGAACCCTGCGGTTATAATAATGCGTGTCGCGCCTACGCGTCGATCGGACGAAAGCCGTAACAGAAATAACAACAGTGTTAATATTTCCATAAAAAAAAGAACGGACAGACTTCGAACGGGGGCACAGCTACTGTTGTAGGTGGAAAGTTGGCAAGGTAGCATACTGACAGGAATTTAATGTATATCTGTAAGCAACGATAAACCATTGTTAACGTAGAAACGATTCTGCAGAGCGGAGTTCAATTGATTGTGTTGCTTTGTCATCGATTATATGCTATATTACTATGGTAAAAATGATTATAAAAATGTGCGATTCCCTGGCAACAATGATTGTTTAAAAAAGATAAAAATAATAAAAAATTAATAATAACAAAAAATAAATAAAACCGGTTGCCTATGATAACCTTATTTTTAAAAATACTTTCAATCTTTTTTCTAACCTACAGCACCAGGTTTTCCTAATTATCTCGAATATTAATGAGAATTTCGAAAAATGACCTCTTTAAAGTACCACCCAAAGAAAATTTCCTTTCAGAAAAGATGCTATACTTGATAATCGGAGTATGCTTTCTGGTAGAAAAAGTGTTTACACAAAAAAAAATAATAATAATAATAAACATTACTGTAAAACCAATAAATTCCTCGCTCTACTCAGAATTTAAAAAAAAAAAAGAATAATAAAATTACCCGCTTTTCATAATAATATTATCGATTATTTTCGACTATAATACACGCGCACACACAAACATAATAATTGCGGTTTTCGCACGATACGCATACGGTGGCGATTAGCCGACTAAACGAATCATTCGGCGTTATAACTTATAATAATATTTACTGGTGGCAGTATACGTATATACAGCGGACTGGCGTATTTTATACGGTTTTTTTTTTTAAAAAATTTTCCTATATTAATGCGTTTTGTTATTGCGCCTCCGCCCAACCCGGTTATCGCACTCCCCCCACCCCCCGTTAAATCCGATATATTCGACGTTTAATAATATTATACGCATTAACGCCCTAAAACCATCATACGCATTATGCTATACATACATATAGACCCGTATAATAGCCGCGTGTGTATACTCGTGTGTGTGTGTGTGTGTGTGTGTGTGTGTATATATAACAATCAAACCGTTATATCGGTTTATTACGCCCGTTATATTGTTCGAAATTCGATATTTAAACAATAATATAACAATTTATACTCGCGATAACGCGTATGTACAACAAACGAATAATACGCGTGAAACAATGTGCCGAACCTGCGCGATAACCCCGTGTACCGCGACAACGGATAACAAAATATTCATAATACGCGTCCACGGTAATAATGTAGCGATATTGAAAAATCACCGGATATCGGAGGACCGGAGACGGGGTAAAAACAGACGGCTACAGCGGTTATATTGTACGCATCTGTAGCCCTCTGCTATAACACAATGTCAGCTACCTATGTCCGGAGAAAAAACCATTATTTCAGATACCGTCTGAATACAAAGGCCGCGATGGACACGATGCGAACGAACAAACCGAAATCCACGGTTTTACACTATTACGGCCGGACGTGATGGAACACGATATTTTCAATCCGCTATATAGGGAAATGGTCTGTGTTGGGAGGCCCGCGGACGAGGTCGGAAAGACGCGAAAGCTCTAGGGGGCGAACCGAATCGGAAGAGCTGGCTGAACAATAAATTGGTCGTGAGACGGGCAGTGCTTTGGAGATTAGTCGCGAATAAACCCAAGTAAATCGATCGATATTCGGTAATTGTATTGTAGCGAGTTTACGGTACAGTATTATGATGAGCACGCGATGAACTATTTACCGGACGGATTTTATTATTCTGGTTTTCGGTTTAATGGCCGCGGTAGGGCGATTTGCGAGAAACGTTTAAGAGAGGCAAGAGAGTTTTTATCGCGGCCGGGATTCAACCCCTCAAACGTTATATTTTAAGGTTAGGTTAGGTATAAATGTAAAATCACGCGGGGTGCGTTGTATTGTCGCTTATTGTATGATATGTGTGTGTGTGTGTGTGTGTGTGTGTGCGTGTTTATATATCATAGTGTTGTCGTCGTTGTACTGCGCAATATTACGCACGTATATTCTAAAGCGTATCTTCGCCGCATCAAAAAAGGGAAGGAAATAATACAATGTAATGAAATACTCTCCTCGAAGGAGTAGAAGATAAGAAGCACAGACGCGTAGAGATAACGGCGCGCACGGTCTGCCACGACGGTCCACGAAAGAGGTGTGCGCGCTGTCGCCTACACCACCGTGGCTACAATATAAAATATACGTTTCGGTTAATTTATCATCACGAGACTATCTCGTTGTCCAATTGTATATTCTAATGAAGCTGTTAACGCGCGCGCGCACATTACAATACGTATTATACCACGAGGGGGGAGGGGAGGGGTAGGGGGATAAGAGAAAACATATTATAACGCCGGACGCTCGCGCGGGGCCGACCGGCGTACACGTTCGTTTAAATAATAATAGTAATATTATTATTATTTTTATTATTACTTTTTTTTTTTTTTTTTTTTTCCTTCTAATATATTCCGAAACGGGTTTGGAAAATAAATTCATCCGACACCGCGCGCCGCGCCGCCGTTGAACGTACACATATTTATACACGCATATTTCGGTGTACACCCGCGCAACACGGGTGTACAATATTTTATCGCGCCGTCGCGCGGGCTTTCGAATGCAATGCTGGCGGTCCGGTGTGGGGGCGCACGACGTCGTGATAATGCTGAAAATAACATAACAACAACGTGACGGGCGCGACGTGATACGTCGATTTTCGGCGCGATCACAACGGTACACGCCGTCGCGGACCCCGTGCCGGGGGGGGTCGTCTCCGCGCGCGACACAATGTCCGCGTTATTGTCACGAGTGCCGTGACGTCCGGTGCGCCTAAACGCGAACGCGGAATCGTTACCGTACCGTACCGCGGTAACGGTTTTACGCGACCGCGAATAAAATGGATACGTGGGGGGGGGGGGAGGGGGGGCGAATGCCGCGTTCGGAAAACGCCGTGGGCGTTACGCACACGCGCCCGCCGCAGTGTCTTATGACGCAGACGACCGTGACATTGTTTCCCGGCGATATTGATTTTTATTTTCGTTTTTTTTTTTCCCTCCAGGACCGGACATACCGGGATTTCTGTTGCAACCCTTCAGAAAACCCAAAAGAATAAGGACCGCGTTCAGTCCCAGTCAGCTGCTCAAGTTGGAACACGCCTTCGAGAAGAACCATTACGTGGTGGGCGCCGAGAGAAAACAGTTGGCCCAATCGCTGAGCCTAACCGAAACTCAGGTGAGTGCCGTCTATCCCGGCAAATAACATAAACGTAACAATACCGTGTCAGGAGGTCGTAGATCGACAGGTAAACTTACAATAACCCACTTAAAACTCCCGGGCGTAGACGTTTCGAGTTTTTTTACTCCGAGGACCGGAAATTATTCCCGAGGAGGAATTTCAAAAACAATTCGAACACAGCTCGAATTCATATCCGCGCTGTTTGCCGCTGTAATAACACAGCGCACACTCATCAATAATGTATCGCATTAATCGCGATATTATTTTGCCGCGCATGTATACACGATTTTTTATATCAAAAAGTTGTTTTTGTTATTTTCGAAAATTTCACGCTGATTTCACTAGCTCTAACGCAGTGCCATAATACGGTACATTGTGTTACTGTACAAGGTCCCGGGAGGGAGGCATTATTTTTTGTCTGATTTAGTTTAATACGATTTGTTTCGAAAAAAACCCCCTAGGGATGAGGAATTGGAAACGCGAATCCACCAACCACCCCGTGATAACGCCACTGTTCTAGCGAATACCGACCGTCGACATAATATGATAACCAGGCACGGATCCAGAGCAAAGATCCGGGGTGAGGGGAGGGCCCGACAATTTGTTTACAACAAATACAATTAAAATACAATACAACCAATCATGTATATTATTTTCTCGTAAAATTCTCATACAAAAATCGGAGAAATAATATGTACGGGGGGGGAGCTGGACCGCCAGACCCCCTCCCCCTGGATCCGCTCCTGATCATAACGCAATTCTGCTGCAGCGTTCGCATAGATTTCTTATATTTGATATAAATCATAATACCGTACAGGTAATCGTTTAAATGTTCAATAAGTACGGTATTATTGATATTCAATGTGTATATATATATATACACCAGCTATTGCGTCTAGCACGAGTCCCGTATGGCGTCCGCAAAGATTTCTTACCGTCAATAAATCACAACGAAAATAATGGTAATCGTTCAAGTGTACTATCGACGTTTATGTTGCCTATTCATACGCGTTGTTATACTCGTGTACATATATTTTTTTTTTCAACGCGGTTATAATCAAAATCACAAATTAAACATCGGTTTTTTTTTTTTTTAATATTATTTTTTTTTTTTCCTGTAGATACCTACATCTTTTTAACATGCGCGATAGTAAATCAATACCCGCAGTACGCACACAACACGAGTATCTATGTAATTATTATTATTTACGCGTTCGTATAGCATTACGCGATGATAAAATACCGCGCGGATACTTTTTTCGAAAACTTTTCTTTCCCCCCTCCACCACCTCCTACCGTCATTCATAATCGTATTATAATATTTCGTACCACGACCTGTATCCACGCCTACTACGGCGCGTGCGTGTGTTTATAATCGGATTGTATCCGTCAGTGAAGAGCTCAACGCGGCTATTATTGTTGTATTTTTTATTTTATTTTTTTTTTTTTGACGTTAAGCGCGCGCATCGTAAGCGAGGGATAGCCGATAGTGTTTTGATACCTACACTACAACACGCATTTTATATAAACGGTTTGACGTCTAATATTGTCTCTGTTGTCAACGCGGGCGTCAGACGACGCGAAAATATAATTTGTATTTTTCGTTATGCGCGCGAGGGAGAAAAAAGAAATGTTAAAATTTAAAAAAAAAAAAAAAAACCACTTCGTTTAGACGTTCAAAGGTATTAAAAACGTATACGTACGAGTACGCTTATACACGTACATAATAATAGTATAATAGATGCAACGACGCGCGGTTATTATATAATATAATAATATAACGTAGCCTTTTTTTTTTTATTTATTTATTTTTTTTTTCCTGAAAGGATTGTGAACGGTGCGGAGGATATTATTGTTATTGTTATTATTATTATGGGAGTCAGATTAAACTGGTATCAACTCGGTAATCGTGTAAAGTATACTGCGGACGTCGAACGAGGGGATGAAAAGAAATCATAATGGCCGCCGCTCTCTCGTCGTCACTATATATATACTTGTTGTTTGACAAGAGGGTGTTGGTTAACGAGTGAGCGCGGTTGTTGGAAATAAAAATTAAAAAAAAAAAAAACGGTTTAGAAAAAAAAAAAAAAAAAAAAAACTATAATACATTGAACACACAATATAATATTGTTACACACCTATACATATGGTATTAAACTCTCGAAACGAAATACGTTTTTAATTGTATTTCTTGTAGCGCGGGGCTATAAAAAAAAAAAATTAAAAAATGATTTAATTGTTAGCATCACGACGTTATTATCGTCAATCGACCACCGCGGTGGTATTAATTATTATATATATATTTTTTTTTCTTTTTATCTTTATGTCGTTCTTAATTATTATTATCGGCACTGTGGTTAGTGTGTACGTATTCGTGTACAAAACGGTCGGAGATTTTATTATTTTTTTTTTTTTTTATTACAATATTATAATGTCCCCACGGAATATAACGTCAGATCGACTATTAAAAAACGTTATTTGATTAACGCGATGGCCTAATTATTATAAATAATTATTCTACGTTGACTTGCGTGCACACTATACATACGCGTTAATACTTCTGTTACACGAGTTTATTAAATATCTTACCGCTGTTCCCGGTGTCGGAATTCGGGCGGGAGTCGATTGACCATCCCGATACCGTTTTTCGAAAATGTATGTAACGCACCCCCCTCCCCACCCCATTACGATACACTCTCGAACCCGTACTCGCGCAATCGCTGCATAAGGGACGCTTATTTCGTTTCAAGTCTCATAGTCCCCGCTCTTGGTTTATTTGTCCGATATAAGAGGGAGGGAGGAGGTGGTCGGCGTGCACAACGAGAAAACAATAAGTCCGTTTTTCGAAATCGTTCAAGGCATAGAAGAACCCGTTTACCCGCGAGACTGGACCTCTCAGCTATACGTGACGTAGATAAAGAACAGAATTCAGTATATAGGTACTGTATGCAGTGTACACAATATGCATTGCATTATAATTGTGATTTCGATATTTAGAGAGACGATATCGTAATTTATTATAATTGTCGCAATATTTAGTTGACCGATTTTTATTTTATTATTACAACAAATTATGTAATAATATTATTGTGTCGTATTAAATGTCGGTACACACATACGATAGCGCGTACATTATATTGTTTATAGTATAGCGGAACGAAATTTAAAAAACGAGATGAATATAATATGATATTATGCTTTGCGCATCGACTGGGCGCTACTACAACTATATAATATAAAACATAATTGGTTCGAAAAATGAAAAAATAAAGATTTAATTTCGAAAAATTTCCATCAGCTATACATGAAATAGAGTGCGATAAAAGATTTGTAAACAGTAGAAAAAAATAATATAAAAATTACGGCGAGTGACGTCTCACAGGACTTGCGAGACTCCTGTCTTTACTGTGCACAGTCGAGACACCCGGTAACGAGATTTGGGGGGGGGGAGTTTCAAGTGATTAGGTCGCGGCACCGATTATTCGTCTGAAGCGCCTAAGCGGGTAACTGGTAGCAAACCGTAGTAACCGTATGTACCTAGTTTTAGACGACTTTTTTCAGTTGATTTATAATAGACGATTTTTTTTATTCTTTGTGTGTTATCGATCTTACGTAAATGATACTTTTAAAAATATTATAATTACTCGACGTACATTTCACACGCGTTAGTTTTTTACATAACGTAAGATTAATGCGATGAAAATATTTAAACATCGTACGCGTGCGCGTGGGAATACTCAGCCCGGAAATCTACGAAATAAAAAATAAAGTCCGAATTTCGAGTTTCTCCCGCCCTCACCCTCCGACGCACAAAGCAACTTATATATTCGCTTTTCAAATATATATATAATAATGATATCGTCGACTATCCGGCAAAACCTCGTAAACCGATATTTTGACTACGTTTTTTTTTTTCCGGTTTGTTGGGCGGATATTTTTATTGAGACTGCGGAAATTTATCGCCGTTCGTCGGGTTGCAATAGTCGCGATCCCGTAATCGTACGTTTATACACAATATTTCAGATCTCCGCGACCCGGACATCGTATGCATGGTTGTTTGCAGTTTTTCAAACGTCGTTATTCTAGAAAAAAAGTTGACCGTCGTAGAAACGTTCCGAAAAATTACTGCACGAACAAAAACGTCCCCGCGAAGTTTTTTTTGTTTTTTTTTTTAACCCGGATAACATAATCGTCTCAACGGGCGAGGAAAAAAACACACATGCACACTGAAATTTAAACTGCACGCATACCAGTATAATTGCATGCTGTTAAAGTTGTGTATAGTACCCGCCTATGTCCTATATAGATTATAATACATTAGCCATACCGGATTGCCGTACACGACTATCGCGATACCGTCACCCCATACACACACATATTATAATATCATATACAATATAATATAATAATCATAATGCCTACATCGTTTTTTCCCCCTCCCCCCTCGCCCATTTAATATACGCGCGGTAAACGCCACAGCAGACCCCGTTCGGATCCATTACGGAAAAAAAAACGGGGGGGGGCGACCCGATGAAAAAAAACCGATCCCCGCGGACCCGTTTTGCCGTCGTCCGATTGGATTGTCTTCGACATAATACATATAATACGCGTTTATAATATTCTATGGTCGCGCGGTGTATAAAATAACACTCGTGTAAATTAGCTGTTATTCTCTAGACCGTCTCGCTCGCGCTCATGCGCGCACCCCGTACACACGCATACAATAATACTGCAGGGGACGGACTCACGCCGTACACCTCTGTAAATGTTCGTATACTGCACTTTTATCCGAGGGGAATATTTCGAGTGCCCTTCCGGGACCGTTTCGACCAATGGTTGAGCGTGTAATAATAATAATAATAATAATAATAATAATATTGCGTGTATATACTAGGGACTAGTGCTTCCGCACCCTCGAAAACTCGGTACGCGCGTATTATAGCCGCGGTCGCGAGGGCAAATTATTGTAATAATAACGCGATGCAATATAGCATAAGAGGCGAGTCGTTAAATTTTTTTTTTTTTTTTTTTAAGCGACGTCCAATAACGGCGTTTTATCGACGACGCGCGCACGCGAAACCGTCGTCTCTCGCTTCTCGGCTCGTCTGCGGTTGCGTACATTTCCGTCGTGTATTGATGCGCTAACATGTTCTGTACGATGAGATTTCGTATTCGTACACCGGACACCCGCCTGTACAATCGGTACACGAGTGTGTGGGCGTCATAATCGGCCGATAAGTTTTTTCTTACTCGGGTACACAATGCATTGTACCAAACGTACCGAACGTGTTAAACATGTTACAAAGCGCATTTCCGCCGCCGTCCACTCGATGAACCGGACAACGGTCCACGGTATTTTAATTGAACCGACTGTGTTATTTCATCAGTCGCCGTGTCATTTCCGACCGTCAACGACGCATCGCCGTCTGCTGGCCGTGTGACGATTTTCCCGCTCCGAAAAAATCCGGAACGCGATTCCTCCGGCGTTATCCGCGACATGAGAAATCGTTATCCTCTTTTTACACCGCACCGGTGTAAATCACGCGCCGTAACGTTATAATTTTTCCAACCGCACCGCGGCTACTCGCAAATTTCGAATATCGACGCGCGTGCCCGTTTGTATGTAGGCTATTGGAGTCGATCGGACGGAGCAGGCGCAGCTAGGACTACCGCGAACTCGCGCGGGTCCGTTTTGAATTGAAATTAATCATAAATAAATACGCCGCAGTTGTCAACGACGGCCGGCCGATCATGAAAATAGTTCGTTTTTATCGAACTGTCCGGGCCTGTTATGCCGTTTCGGATACAGTCGTCCGGTTCGCGGTGTTTTAGCCGCGGGCGTTCCAAAAAACGACCGCGATACGTCATATGCATACACCGGCCGTGTGTCCCGCACGGAAATCAAAACGTCGAAAAAATACCGCCCGAACAAACGGACGCGCAGAGACGACGGTCCGCGCTAATTTTTTAAACCGCACCGTACATTGTTGTAACCGCGCAAACGAAATTTCGACGCTATACGATTTTCCGAAATCTTACAGCCCGGCATTATGAACGCCCGCGTCGAAATCGTTCGAACACCGACCCCGCGCTTTCGACGTGAACAGGACCGCGCGCTGCCAAAAAATATTTTTTGTTGTCCGAAACCGTGCACACAGTGTATAATAATAACAATAATACGGCGAGTATATAAGGCGCGCGGCGGACGCAATTAAACAAAAATATACGACGATTATATATGTAGGTCGCGTTTGTTCGACTGAAAAAAAAAAAAAAAAAACCAACCGGAATCGAATACTCCACTCGCCGACGAGACGATTATTTTGGCACTAATTTTCGTCTGTTTAATACGCGCGCGAATTCGCCGTGAACGGAATTTATGACTCGCGCGTCACGTCGGACAATGCGAAAATATATTCGGGTGTAATATTATTTTTTATGTTTTTTTTTTTCTCGCCGACGTATTTCATATTTATTACCGTCGGGTTTCGCGAATGTTTACGCCATTTTTTTTTTTTATTATTCGCAATATTGTCGTTATTATCACTGCCATACAACGGAGAAGCTATATTAGCTGCAGTATTGTAATATATTATACTCGTATCCGACCGGTTTGGCGTTTTTCGGTCCCCACCCTCCCCCATCCACCTCGCCGTAGTAATACCGACGACGATCCTTATCATCGGAAATTAATACGCTATATTATTTAATTCGCCGGCTAAATAACTCACCCCGACCGTCCGTTAAATAATCGAAATATTCGAGACCAGTCGTGTACGCCGTAAATACGCCTGCGCGTATACATGCGAAAACGCCAACACGGGGCGCGTACACTCGTGCAGGTACAATATCCGATACGGCACTGAACAGCTCGTCTCAATGGAAGTCGCCGCGCCGAAAACGATAAAAGGTCGACTTTTACTGTTTGCGCGACCGTCTCGGATTTCCTCGGACACCTTTGACGAGACGACGAATGCAATGCCGTGGCGCGCGATGACGAAATAAAAACAAAACCGTTCGGGACAACGCGCGTAAAATACGTCTACTCGACGTCTCGCGCCTTCTATTTTCCACCCGACCTCACACCATCTCGCGTTATTTTCGGTTTCGAACGGTCGCCGATCAACTACGCCGTCCCCCGGCCATCGTTATCCCGTCTCCCGGGCTCGTTCCGGGGCTCCCGGCCGTCGCCGCGTTTACCGTTTAGCTCGTTCTGAACCGCGCGAGCCGCGCGACGTCCCGCCCGTCGCAATCGTCTCGGCCTCGTTACTTCGCCTACCGTCCGTGTTCGCGTACAGTTTCGCACGTCTACGTTTCTCCGCTCCGCTCTGCGCCACTGCACCGCGGCGCTCGACGATTGACGGCGCGCCGTTCGACGTGTTCGCCCGCCGCCCTCGAAATCGCGTTCGGCCCGGGGCTTTTCAGTCGCTTCCCGGTCCCGCGCGACGGCGGGCAGAGATGACGACGAGACGCCACGAGCGTCGGCTCGTCGGCCGAAAACGAAGCGCGCGACGCCTGTACCGGCACGCGCGTGTCGCGGCAACGGACGCCGCGGTGTTGTTGCGACGGCCATTTTGAACTCTGACGGGCGGTGGTCGGGAAGGGGGAAACGGTCGGTCCCGAAAAACCGTTTTTCGGCGCGCGCGATAATATTGTAGTTTATCACGGCCATTGAGTGCGCGTTATAAATTGTCGGAGGAAGTGACGGGCGGACGATCGCTCGTTTTATTCCGAAGCGCACAATGCGCGCGCGCGCGCGTCCGTTTAATAATAACAACGGCGATGCCGACGACAATGTAATAATAATAATAATAATAATAATATTAAATATAATATAATAACGGCGCGCCGCGGGCATTGTGCGCGAAAAACGTTCCCCGGGGACGACTTCGCGGGCGACCGGCGCGCGCCCGGCCGCCGTCCGCGTTTAATGTACCGGAAAACTGAGCTTGTTTTTGATAATGAGAGGGCGAATTTCCCGACCCTCCCTCTACCACCTACCCCCCCCCCCAGCCCTCTCTCCTCCCTCCCTCTCACTCCCCCTTCCGCCCAAACACACGCGCACAGATGTTGCGTGCGGCTTCGGTAGAGTCCGTGTTATTGTTGTTATTATACTCCCGTGTCTCCTACGATATGTATGCCTACGCGGCTGCAGGGGTGGCGAACGACCCCGTTCGTTCGATTGAACCTCGTGTACTATGCGAAATATTATTAGCGTTGTAATCATATAATACGGTGCGCGATAAGTACGCGCGTGCGTGACGTCGGACGGCCGTTTGGCGTGCACAAACGTAGGCGCTCGCCGTAGAAAATATCGTCGGCGATAAACAATAATAATGATATTATAGACCGGAACATCCGCTATAGCGTCCGCACGCGCATTATACGCTGTCATAATGTTTTCACCGGTAGCTTTTTATCTCTCTTAAAGTTACAAGTTTTAAAACAATTCGCTTCTTCTCGCGTGCCGCGTCCTCTTCTGCTCGGACCGTTACCGCAATATCACGCGCCACCCGTCGTCCATTTGCTATATTATACTGTCATATCCTGTGTGGCCCATACGTCCAACAGATATCGCATAGCTTCACTTGCTCCCGGTTCGCCGTACTCTCGAACCCTTTCCTACGCACCGTCAACCACTTTCTGGACCCGCCACCGTGACCTTTTCCCTTGAGGCGACCGTTCGGAGTTATTGCGGCTGGTTATTACAGCTGAATGCGTTCGCGTAGTGACCGATCTCGTCACAACCGCACGGGCCCTTTTTAAGCGCCCCGTCGCATCTATTACGTCTGCGGTTATCTACGACTATCTATCGAACACTCCGGGTTCGCAGATTTTCCTCCAAACTTTGTTTTGTTCCGAAATCTTTTTCCGGCGTACTCGGTCGGGTCCGGGTCTCCGCGTGATCCACGACGCCTTAGAGCTTGTCCTATCGTACGGCTAGATACAACGTATACGAAGTACGTCTACTCGTTTTCACTCGACGTGTTAAAGTTCGAAATTTTCATCTATAACGCGCGTATTATACGGGTTTTCAGCTTTGTGCCGCGTAAATTATTATAGTATTGCGGGAGATATATTGCCGTGCGTTTTCAACCGCGGTCCTACTACGTACACGCCGACGCGCGTATTTTACCGCCACGATACTGTTTCGCATGTGATATTTATATTTAATTTAATATATTAAATCGTATATTATTTTACGTGTGTGTGTGTGTGTGTACGCACGATACCGTGCAAAAATCTCGGGGCAAACATCGGGACGGAAAAACTTAATGGGAAAACGTGTTCCGTGCCGGTTTTCGCGAAAATTCGTGTTTGCTATGTTTTTTATGTACCGACACGCGCCTACGTTTCGCATACACTGTAAATAATCGTAAATTATTATATTGATTCAACGCTGCTGTAATATTCAACCGTATATAGGTATACAATATGATCATCGAAAATGTTGTCCGTGTATGTGACGAGTAAAAATCAATTAATTTGACTAAATTGCGATTTTCGTCAACGTTGTAACGAATGAGTACGCGCATTTGTCGTTGTTGTTGACATTGCACGCGGTCGTCACGCACACCATCCTGCCGTGGCAGCGCTCGCGTATTGCACTGCGTCAATTCGAATAACACGCGCGACATTTTCGCGTCATCTCGCGGTGCGCCCCCGAGTAAAACGCGTTCGACGTTTCTCCGCGGCTTCGGGTAAATAACAAAATTTGAATACGGCTGGAAATTTCGCGTCCACATACGGGCCCGCAGTCTGTCGGCATTTTTTTTTTTTTCGCGCGCGCGGTATCGTCGCGTATACCGCATACGCGACGTGCCTTTACTGCGGTGCGCTGTCGGCAAATCGTTATAAATCCGGAGGAAGTAAAGAGAAACAAACAAAATAAATAATAATAACGAGGAAAACAGACACTTGACGTCCATTGGCCCTATTGTGCGCGCGCGATCCGGCGGTGAGGAGACGGAGGGTTAGAAGATTCCGTTTAAAAATGCTTATTTCGGCGGTGCCCTTTATGTATGTGTACAGTGTACATAATGCGCATGACGTGTATACGAGAACGTTTCGCCTCCTCTCGGAAAAAAGGAAATTGGCCATTATTGTTCGTCATCTCTACTCCCGTACGCACCGCGGCGCAGCATCAAGCGACCCAAAACGACGTGTATTTATCATCGCCGTTGTCCCCGTCACGCCGAATAACTTATAATGTACAGGACCGCTCGGAGGGTTCGAAGCGGGGTAATCAACCGCACACGCGAAACGGAATGAATAATAAAAGCGACTATTTGATTCGGCTATTTTCGTTTTCTTTTGACAAATTGCCGGCGTTTTATTGTTTCGCTTTATATTATAAGATATAGAGATGGTGAAAAAAAAAAAATAATAATAACAATAACAATAATACGAAACGTCCCGTTATTGTCGTCGCAGTTAAATTCGTTCGAGAATTTCTAATAAACCGAGAATTCTCTTTTGTTTTTATCCCGTAACAATATTAGATATAAGTCAATATCCGTACAATGGATAGTAAACGCCGTTCTGTGACTACTTTTCTATACGACTCCAATAGAGTAGCGTTTTTATTTTATTTTTTTTTTTCGGCCGAATGCCGGCGCCGCGTTTTATTCCTGCAGCGATAATTTATTGTTGTGACAAATGTAGTATAAGTGTTTATTAATATAATTGAAATAAAACACAATCGATACGCAATGTAATATAATAACGATAACGCGTACAAGTTTGTAATTAATGGTTTTCTTTTTTGATTGTTTTTTTTTTTCTTTCAATTGTGACTATAATATTATACAGTATACGCCACAGACAATAGTAATAATTACGTTTAAATATTTGACCTTGAATCTGTTTTGTTTTTTTTTAATCGTATTACTATGGATACCCGTATATCCGCTGCGAAACACTGAATTGTCCGTTCGTTAATTAAAATGTATTAGTTATTGCCCGTACTTAGAAAACGGACGGCGGAGTGGAGGCGAAAAGGGCGATTGCTTTGGACCGCGGAATTTCGAAGGCGGTAAAATTAATACGATTTTTAGGCGGACATTTTTAGAGGAGGCGAAAATGGGATGGAAACGGGCGTACCCACGTAAATGTGTTCGGGAGGGGAGGGAGAGCACATGCGTTCGCCCCGTACGGTCCTAGTTGCGCGACCGCGTCTATACCCGCACAGGCGCGACCAACGTGTTTCAATCGGCTAGTGGCGAAGTCGTATACAACCATCGCAACCATCCCCCTCCCGTTCTAAACGTCTCCGAAAACCGTTGTGTTTTAACCGTTCGGTAAACCGATAATATGCGGTCGCGGTTAAATGTGTGTTTCGCGAGTGCGGTTTACCACTTGGATATTTCGACACTGAAACTGCATGCGCGCGCGTACGGTATTTTTCAATAATACCGTCTCGTTAATTTACGGAAAACCGACGTGTTTCTCTCTCTCTCACTCTCTCTCTCTTTTTTTTTTTTTAAGCGAACGATAACTGATCGCGAAATCGTCCCCGGTCCCCCGTCATGCCGGTCGCCGTCGCCATCGCCATCGCCATCGCGTCGCGCACGCCGGCCGGCGTATTTGCGGATAATTTGCGAATGAAATAGGACGAGCGCGGCGTTCAATACGCGGACGCCGCCGTCGCGGGCGACCGCGGACGCGCATAAGTCGGTTTCGGGTCCGGGGTGTTTATCGCGCGCGCGTTTGTATTTATTATCATTCGGAATTTTTATTTATTTATTTTTTTTTTTTTTTCGTATTTAATACGATATCCGTTCCGCGCGCGCCGAGGACCGTGCGCTGCAATAACAATAACAATATCGTACGCATGGACGGGCAACCCGACCGGACCTCTATGCGAACGGGGTTAGGCGTAACCCCTCCGGCCGCGCTCCCCCTCGACCCGCCCCCACCCTGCGACTCGCCGTTTCCGACCGCGCGGCACAGAGCAAATATTATTTTTCAATCGTTTTATAAATCGGCCATCTTTGTCGCGCGGCAAAAACGGCGTCACATTATATTATATACCCGTGTATGTATAGCCGGCGCTTTCTACCCGTCCCACCGCGTGTGCAGTGTACCCGTAGTAGACTTATACTTTCCCCCTCCCTCCCCCCCCACTCGGTTTTTTTATTATTATTATTTTTTATTTCCTATACGTACGGTATTATGTGTACACGCGGAAATGAAATCGCCCGGGATCCGTTTTTCGGCACGTACCGCACGGCGCGGCGGCGTACATCGCTGCAGATTAACCGGCAATCATCCGACGAGCAAACAGCCCCCGGACCGTTTCCGCAATCGCAGCCCCGTAAAATACATTATAATATTATAATATATTATTATTGTTCGGTACGTTGATACGGTATAATATACGACCCGCCCGGATTGTGTAAATATTATAGGTACGCAATACTGTCTATAATCACGCCGCAGTCCAGAGACTAAAATATTATATAAATACACGTATACTTGTTCGTGTTTCGTACCGAACCATACTGTATCGTAGGTCTCGTCACTGCCCTCCACCCCCACCCCCCAATCCCCCCGCAGTGGAAAATGTTTCAGTAAAAATAATTCGCCACCGCTGTTCTGTACTTCGTTAGACCGTGGCCGACGGCGGACCGTAAAAGGCTCGACAGCTCGACGATGTCACTCGAATCGTGAAAGGGATTGCGTCAGTGGAGCGTTATGCGCCTTCGAGAAGGTATAATCGCATCATGATTTTTATCCGACAAGACGTTATAAAAATCCACGTTTCGGGCACACTGGTTCTATAAATTTGTTTCGAGCGTAAAAAAACGTTCTGCACGCCACCGCGGACCGGGCAAAGGATCGTTTTTCATTCGTTAGGTGGCCGTGAGAAATTCGTTTACGTCCAGTGCGGAGTCTTGTAGTCAGTTCGAACTTTCTCGGACAGTCCGTGGGACAGTCTTATTTAATCTCGCGGAGTTTAGCCTACTCGAGGATCTTTAACTTTCTCGCCGAGTGTATTTTTTGGCATTGAAATCTGTATAATACTTTGGCTATATAAATTATATAAGGAAAAACTCGGTAAAGCGATTTTATTTAGCGATAAAATGATCGCTCTGTACACAAACGCCGTCACGGTTCTGGTATATATTTCGTTAAAAACCAAAAAAAAAAAATTATAATAATAGAAACCGTACTAAGCCGTCATCATCGAAAACAGTTGAATTTATTTTTCAATTATTATAGAAACTATATATACATATCACGTGTGTATACGAAAAAAATGATCTTTTTTTTTCTGTCGGATTAATACTAACCCTCGTCGGAAACGATATTATAATACCGTATATTTTAAAACCGTCCGACTGCGTAACTAAGGGTAACCTTAAAAAAAAAAACCGCGTTTTCGCGACAAACTATACGGACGTCTCCCAGATGTTTTATCTTATTGTCGGATTTCCTATTTTCTATTGAAAAAAAATGACCTACTGTATAAATTCCATAAAATATACGTACACGGACGTATCGTTTTATTATGTAGGGCTATAATGTATTTTGATATTTTATTGGGATCGCTGCGCCTGAATTGCCCGACGTGGATGCTAGGCGTTTCCATCCAGTGGTAGTAAATAATAATAACTATGGTACATATAATATCCATCCCGTACAATAGATGGTTTAAAAATACAAAAAAAAAAAAAAAATTTAATATCGAAATGTATGTATTTCAGCGAAGTTACGGGGAAAAACTTGATGTATCGATTAGAAATTTACTTTTTTTTTTTTTAGATCCGGCTTTTGAATTACCGACTCCCATAGTCGGGTCGGGTAGAGATGACGATTTTACGATATTTATTTTCGCTACATCACCTCCCGTCGAAAATTCCCGTACGCGCCACTGGGTGGCAGGTACGGGGAGAGACACGATTTTATATTTTTTTAAATTTTCTCTCGTTCAATCGCGCAAACCCGTGCGTGGGACAGCTAGTGGGAACATACATATATATATATATATATAGGTAAGGTATCTCCTATATATTATTATATACTCGAGAACGCGGGTTTTTTTTTTTTCGCACAGTATACTCGCGGTAACCGATTGAAAAAAATAACAAACTAACGTGTACACTATACAATATAATATAGCGTTATTTTAACCTTTCGTGTGCGTATGTGCGCGCGCGCAGTTATAATAATAATATTGTATGAAAAAAAAAAAAAAAATTACACATATGTGCTCGGGAGTAGCGCGAAATTGAAACGTCGCCGAGAAAGCAAAATAACAACCGGCGGCCGGCAGTGATCCGGTATAAATAAATCACCGGACGCGTGTGTTGTTCTTTTGCGGCGCGAAACGTTATTATTATTATTATTATTATTATTTTGTATTTTTTTCTGTATTTCTTCTTTCCTCCAAACCTCCGATCCGCGATAGAAATCTTCGTGTTTAAATTATTGTTATATACCATGAGAATCGCGGTCGAATGCTACGAAACTTGAAAAAAAAAAAAAAAAAAAAAATTCTAAAAATTATCCGCGAGAGACAAATTCGCACTGTACGAACGGCGGCGGACAATGACATTAAACAATAGCCGGCCAGCTCCCGAGACCCGATTGTTACGAATTATCTGAATTTCGGGTAACAAGTAATAACGGGATCCGTCCTAAATCTTCTCGTGTCGTTTCGAAGTCTCCGAGTCCAGCGTATAAAAAGACGGGGCTAAAACGGGGCGAACGATTCCGAATTTCGGACGAAACAATTTCGAATCGTTAACTGATTCGTAACATGATTTTTAAGTAAGAATTTCAGGTACCGGGGTTAAAGAATAGCTCAATAATTGCGACCGTTTTAAACTCGTTTTTCGAAGTTCTTAACATTACTCCCCGTTTTGCTTTCGATTTTTTTGAAAATCTCGAGGAAAAATTACCCGATCTGTTGATCCTATACTCGCGTTCCATTGATTTCAGTATCGGTGTATGCTTTCCGGAACTGGATCGCGATATAGGATGTACAATTGTATTTAAGATACCTACGTATTTAAAATACTTGTATCCAAGTTAATAGTATTATATTATTGCTCCTCGATCCTGTCAACGCTCTCGACGAGTTTAATAATTACATCGTCGCCGTGCAAAAAGTGTCCGATTTAAAATATGTATGAACGATTGAAAGATTAAAAATAAGGTTGTCATTGGCAACCGTTTTTATTTATGTTTTGTTATTATTAATTTTTTTTTTAATAATCATTGTTGTCGCGGAAACGCATACTGTTTTAATCGTTTTACCATAATATGACAATACTATGTACTGTATTGTTGACAAAGCAACATTATCACATGAACTCGGCTGAGAATCGTTTTTTCGTTAGCGATGGTTACCGCATTAAATTCCCGTGCGAAGTGTGTCCGTATTTTTTTTTTTTTTTTTATTATTTTTCTACTTTAATGAGATTTTAATAGGGATATTATAATGTCTCGACAATTATTGGGCGCATATCATCGAGAAACAAACGTAAACGTTGGTAAAACTCACGCTACCGAATTCGGAGGCCCGATTGGAGTGTAAAGTTAATGAGCGTGGGCATGCACGATTATATTAACAACGAAATACAACACGTACATTAAACGTACATTAAATTATTTCGAAACGCACATCATTGACCGTTTCGTTTTTTTTTTTTTTTTCGTTATTGTGTCCGCAGGTCAAAGTGTGGTTCCAGAACCGGCGCACCAAGCACAAGCGGATGCAACAGGAAGAAGAGGCCAAAGTGCAGCAGCAGCAGTCGGGCGGCGGCGGCGGCGGCGGCGGCGGGTCCAAGAACTCGCACCACGTGAACAAGTGGAAACAGGAGACGCAGAACAGCGGGTCGGACGGCGAGATGCACCACTACGAGGGTTCGCCGCGTTCGGGCCAGCACATCAGGGGCGACGACGGCACGATGCACTACAACGACGGGTACAGTTCCGAGGCGGACAGCGACGTCTAGACGTATAATAATAACGTACGTAACACCCTGTACATAATTTTTTTTTTTTTTTTTTTTTTT